TGCGCTGGGGGGGGCCGGACCCCAACCGGGTGCCCTGCCCGGCCAGGCCGCCCAGGACCTCCCCCGGTGTTACATACTTCAATGAGTATGGGCAGAACCAAAGATCAACCAATGTAGGATGAGCATATATGCAGCGGAAGTCTGATAAACGGAGTGACTCACATAGACTGACTCACATAGACTGACTCAAGAATCACTCCACACACATACAATCGTGAGATGGTGGGGTCTGGGCCAAGCATGGATGATGCCCAGATCCCGTACACTCATACACAGATGAAAGGTGGGAGGAGAGACGAAGGAGGTGGGGGAGGTAGACAGCACCGGTAGGTCACCGAAATAGAATCCGATAGGTCACCGATATGGTAGTCCGAAATGTCATCCAACAAAATCAAAATGTCGAGGAAAATCAGTCACCAATGTCGGAGATACAGAGTCCAAATGTAACCGGTGTCCGAACTGTGATGCTGCCAAGTATCAACCCCAACAATCTCCAAGTCTCCAGTCCGGTAAGTACCGCAGTCTCATACCACCGAAGTCCAACACTGATCTCTGTCCAACTAGAAGTGTCCAATCTGAAGGAGAAGAAGAAGAAGAAGATGGAGTCTGAAGAGGAGGAGAAGAAGAAGAGAGAGTCGAGGAGGAGAGAGAGAGAGAGGGGACTGACGATGGGAGGGAGGAGAGAACCTCCGGCTCCCTGATACCTCAGGCGGCGATGGCCGCCGATCTGGCTCAGTCGCCTTGCTGCTGCTCCGCTTGCCGCTGCTGCGCTAATGCTGCGCTACTGCTGCCTGCTCCTCGCTCCTGCGCTAAGAATAGCGCCAGCGCTAATGTGCGCTGAACCATACCGTACCGGTAGAATGCCGGTAGGTCGATGCCTTCGAAGTGAGGCCGGACCAGTACTAAGTACTGGTTCAAAGAGGACCGGCCTCACTGTTGCGAGGCCTTGGTTGGGGCTGAACCGTCCAGATCGACGATTCAGGTCCAACCGGAGAGCGGCAGCCTCAAACGGCGCCGCCAGGCCCATAGACGAAATGTCATTTGGGCCTGGTCCGTAATCGGGTCCAAGTCGTGGCCTTTCGGCCTGTTATCCCCCAATGTCGGGCCTTTAGGCCCTGATGTGTCCCTCTAGCCCTATGTCGGGTCCGGTAGGACCCGTGTGGCGTCGAAGATGTAACACACTCCCCCTCTTAAAAGACCGAGCGACTTGCGAGGGCGGAGTTGTCTGTCCGATACCGGGATGGGTCGGGTGGGACGAGCTGCTGCCTTGGCAAGTCGTGTCTTCTCATAGTTGGCGAAGATAAGGGGTGCAGAAGTCTGCAAGTCTGCACTAGAGATCCACCGAGTGTCGTCAGGCGCACATTGCTTGAATGTGACKTTGTAYTGCATTGGCTTGTTRCCATACTTGCGGT